AATTACATTGCATTCAAAACATTCCAATGATCAGACAGGCTTGTGTGTATACTCTTAGGCCAATCACACGAGTTATACACATTTTTATAAAGCACAAATATTTTTGCTTTACAATATGGAGATTGTTGTGTTTCAGTTCTAATTTTGAACAGTAATACAGACGTAGTGATGGTACCTATGGCATGTATATGTACGATTATTGATAGTAAATGGTGCTTTTGGGGAAATAACCCTAACGATCCATTTCAAGGGCATATTTAAAATGAATGTACAAAATATGCCTGTACGGAAGGGACTGATGACAAAAGCAAGGCAAGTGGCAGATGTCCTGGTGGCTATCAATATCAGCAACTAGTTGTCACTGTCTGCAATGATTTCCTGTTTTGTCCCTGATTTCAGTTCTCACTGCTGTAAACTCATCTTTATTGGCCTCTTTATAGCAAATTGTCCTTGATCTGGGATAATCAGTAAACTTGATGATTGGTTCAACTCAGGGGAGTGAGTTCCATCTTCTGACTCCAACGGCTTCTTCACACTTTAGTTCTTAAGATGGAGAGGACAGTGCAAAATGGATGAACTAATTAATTCCAGGTCTTACCCAGACACCAAACAGTCTGAGAGTAAAATGGAATGTTGTGATAAAGGAAGGACGGCTCTGATCCATTCTGATTAAGAGCAAAGTATTTATGTGCCAAATAAAGGATTGAAATAATGGAGCAACCAGGAGTATGGAATGGGAGGGGGCCAATAATGAATGTGCAAATCACAATTGATTAAGCTGTGAATTGAAAATTGCTTCTTAACCTAAAAAAAAATCTTGTGACCCATAGTTTGTTTTATTTTTTTATTTTGTCAAAGGGATTGAATTCAATTAGTAGCTAGTGGACACTTATCCAATGCATGTAATCTATGAAAGTGAAAAAAAATTCAGCTTCATTTTTTGACCTGTGTGTCACAAAACATATTTTCCCTAAACCAAGACACTCCTCTGACAAATCGTTTTCCTGAGGGCAGTCCACACACTTAGGGACACTTCATTCTATCACACACACAGAGAGACACGCATGTGCACGCATACACACACACACACATACATGCATGCACGCAGTATGTGAAGATCCTTTTATGGCTTCCTCAGCCTCAGATGGTCAGTCAACTAGCAAAAACAACTGGCAGCTTGGACTGCAAAGCCAGTGGGGTAGAACAATGATGGAAGCCAAGAGGCTCCATTCAGAGGAACCTAGAGGTTCCCACCCATGTGCAACTCCTGAACCCATCTGGTTCTGGAAGAACCTAGAGCAGGAACACCTCATACAGCCTTAGGGCACATGAGAAGGACACCCAGAGCAGGAACCTGGAGGTTCGAATTCTGGCTTTGCCTGTCTCCCCACAAGCTCTTTAGCCTTGAGCATATTTTTAAGTCTCTCTTCATCTATTAGGATAAAAGCTAGTAATAATATTTTACATGAATTTTGGGAGGATTAAGCGAGGCAACAATAAACAGAAAGCAAATTGTATATAAACCCTGCTTTGTATTCATGATAAATGTGGCTCAGTAAACATAATAATGAATGAAAGGAATCCAAAGCAGAGGCAAGTTTTATCCCCGAGTTAGCAGAAGGCCTCTCTTTGAAGTCCCTTAAATTTTCCCAGAGTGAAAAGAAAGAGTCTGGATTCTTCCTAAACCCAGAGGAATGAGGAAAAGAGTAAACTATCAAACATCTTCCTTTCTTAAAGCAGTGCTGGGGAGTGAATCCAGCCTTCCAGATGCTAGGCAGGTGTTCTCCAGCTGGGCTACTCTCCAAGCCCTTCACAGTCTACAGGGCCCTGAATGTCTCAAGAACAAGCACTGGCATTAATTCCCGGTGACTCGCTCTCACCAACAAAAGTAAAACAATGAAATGAAGACAATAGGTCTATGTGAAGCAATCTATTATTATTTGTTATTATTAAAATTTACATGTAGGGATATGGGGTATGAAAAACTGCCTTCTGACAGAGATAAAAGTCTTTTATAACAAGCTCACAGCATTGTTTATCCCCTCCCTTTAAAATAATGAAGTAAGGCTGGAGAGATGGCCCAGTGGTAATCCCAAGATCAGATTCCCCCAAACACACACGAACCCCTAGTTAGTAGGTTGATCCACCTGTAACTCCAGCTTTGGAAGGGCAAGCCTGGGGATCCCCAGAGCTAACTGTCTTGTGAGAGTAGCCATATTGGCAAGGTTCTTGATTTGATTGACTTTGCCTAATGATTCATACAAGTAGGCAAACAGAAACCAAGCCACATCCTGGGTAAGTACCAACTGTCCGACATCAAAGATATTTCCCCTTCCATGGGTGTCTTGTGGAAATGAGATATTAATAAACCTCTCCATAAAGTCCTATATCTTTGACCAGGCTCCCTCCAAAAAGTGCGTTCCTTACTGGCTCTATGCTTTCTAATTATTTGTCTTACCAAGGTCCAGATGGTCAGCCCGTCCAAATCAAATTGCACCAATCTGTGCCTCTTTTTCTTCTAACCAACTTCTCTAATTCCTATAGTTAGCCATTACCTTAACATATGCCCCAGGAACCCCTACCATCACCCCAATCTACTCATAGCTACAACTATTGGAATGGTAAAATTAGAGCTCAGAATTTTGAATCCAGCTACAGAGAACTTCGTAGTTGAGGGATGGAGAGAATGTGAGACAAACACTGTGCCTGGGAGGCTGAGCTGATCTCTCCCAAAATACACTCCTCAAATAAATTTCTCTGCCTTGATTCAATGCCGATAAAGTTGCTTTAAAATAATAATAAAAAAAGGTGTGTGTGTGTGTGTGTGTGTGTGTGTGTGTGTTGGAGACACTGGCCATGACATACATGTAGAGATCCAAGGACAATTTGTGGAATCATTTTCTCCTTCCATCTTTAAGTGGATTCCTCCTTGGATCCACCACAGGCCTGAGTTTGTCAGGCCTGAACAGGAAGCTCCTTTATCTGCTGACTTTTCTTGTAGGCCCAGGATGAAGTCTCTTAAAAATAAGCATGTCTTTCCAAAGAAAAATGTATTTACACTTTTTAATTTAAGAATGTATTCTTGGCTGGATGTGATGGCCTTGCCTTTAATCCCAGTACTAGGAAGCAGAAGCCAAAAGAGCTGTGTAAATTTGAAGCTGCCCTGGTCTACACAGTAAGCCACAAGCCAGGGGGACTACATAGTGAAGCCCTGTCTCAAGTAAAAACAAATCAAAGAAAACGACAATAATAAAAATATTTCCAACATTTGCCATGCCATTTATCCAAGATATTGACTTATATTCAAGGCGTTTATATGTTTTTTTAAAAATTAACCCTCATAAAGTCATTGGCAATAGTTAAATCTTCCCCATGGTAAGCTATATGATCAATACAGCTAGCTATTCTAAAACAAGGTTTTAAAATCTGATGTTTAGATTAATTTGGCCACAAACAAAACAGTTGTCTGATCACTCATGGGAAATGCTTAAATGTCTTTGAGAAATAAAGTGTGACCATAAAAATAAAATATGCAACTTGGTACACAGTGCTGGCATAAGTTCCTGGTGATTTTATTTTCGTGTCCGCTGAATTTTTGATGAGGGAAGAATCATTCAATAGTCTTTAATAGAAAGTTCCCTTTTCTGGGAACTCTAAAGTGACTCCACATTGTGTAACTATTGCGTTACAGAATCATTGCTCTTTTGCTTTTTTTTTTTTTTGGCAATAAAAAAAGATTAGCAGCTCCCGCCACCCCCCTCCTCGAAATTAACTAACGAGGAATTTTGTTAATATGGACGGTTTTCTTGCTGCCTTCCTCCCATCTGAATATGTAACTCAGGGCAAAGCCCTCCCTTTTTCAGCTGGAGTCATAGAAGTTTCTGTTTCTAACCTGGGAAGAATGCGGTGGGGACTGAAAAGCCCCTGTCCCTTTGTCCCACTCCCCGGCACTGATCCTTGCTTTTAACATCATAATGAAGGATGCTCTTTAGTGGATTATCTTGAGAAGGGATTAACTCCTTCAAGTCTTCTTAGGGGGAAAGGTGTTTTGAGCCTTAAATACACACCAATTGCCTGCTTAACTTTTCATCTTATTTTGAAAACTGCCCAGCTGGAATTCAAATTCTTTTCCATAGAGCTGAATTTTATTAGTAGCAAAGTTGGAGTCGGGCGCAGCAGATGCTAAATATAAGCACTGTTCTTTTAATCTCGTGGGGCCAAATGTTTCAGATATTTCACCGAGACGGGCCCGTCAGGATAAGACTCAATCTAAACTCTGCGAGCGCGCCTAAATCCTCGCCCTTCTCCCAGGCGCAGAGCTTAAGCCTGCTGGAAGACCACACTTTTTACCCCAACTCCGCCTTTAAACAACACTTGTCTCGATGGCCCCCGTACCAGGGCTTTTAACATTATCAGTACTGTTTCAAGTCACACTCAAAGGAGACTCCGATGCCTAATAAACGCACACACACACACACACACACACACACACACACACACACACTCACTCTTGAAAGGGCTCTGTAATTCCTAAGCAAGCGGTTTCCTCCACTCCTGCTTCTTCATCTTAATAACAATTTATTTCTGTCTGCCTGCTGTCTTAATAATGAAATCTTGCCTCTGTTCTAGATTCATCCATACCGTTCCTCCAACCTGGCTTCTGTTAAGTACACTGTTGTATTGTCCCTACCTATGACTTACCAGCAAACTAGATAATACTCAGCTTGGACTTTCTCCTCCTTCTCTTTTAACTCAAACTTCTTTTTTTTTTCCTTTTTTTTTTAAATTCTAAAATCTAAAATTTTTAGATTATAAATTTTCTTTTGTGCAACCAAAAGGTTTTTTGTTGTTGTTGTTTGTTTGTTGTTTTTTTTTGTGGCCAGAGAAAACGTGTAAGATAGTTGTTAAAAGCAGAAAATTACCTTTACACACACACACACACACAGACACACACACACACACACACACACACGAGAAGGAGGGAGAGACAGAGACAGAGACAGGAGAGAAAAGAAAACTTTGTTTTGTTTTGTTTTTGTTTTTTGGTAAAAGAACCTTTCCTTAGAACTCTTTCAGGATCATGTGTTGTAATCAAACAGCAACAGACATCACCTGCAGCCTTTTTTAATTAAAAAAAAAACAAATCATATGTTGAATACACGCCTAAAATCCAGATACAAGAAAACTATGATTAACAAATGAAGTCAAGACAAGGAGTTCGGGTAATTCGTTTGCACGCTGCAGACATGCAGGTGCACTTTTCTCCTGAAGCCCATGAAATGAAGTCCTATCCCTTTTGGTTATCAACCCGTCCCTGCTCTCACTCACGAGCTGCTTTAATGGTGATAACCCTCCACGTTCATTCTTTCGGGGTAAACTCTTTAAAGAGTCATGAATTTTATTTATACTCTCTCTCTCTCTTTGAGAGTCTTTTGTTTATTTGCTGTTTCTTTCTTTGTGAAATAACACTCCCAGAGGAAAATCCCCCTCTCTGCTTAAGGAATTAGACCAGAGACAAAAGGAGGGGATTCTTTAAGCCTTGTTTTGTGCTAAGAGAAATGTTTGACATTTCTGTGGAGAGGTGTTTAGTTTGGATTCATTAGGTCTTAGGGACTCTTTTCTCTGTTTTGGCCTTTCAGTTTTCTGCCACTGTCCCTCGCCCCACCCTATGTTTGGTAGACTGAGGAGAATTCACCAGAGTGTAGAGTGTAATTAGGTTTCCTATGTTCCAAATGCAAGAATCCAGTTGTTTTAATTGAAGTAGACCATGATCCCCCTTGCAGAGCAAGCCCAGGGCTGAGTCCCACTTCTTGATCCCCATCTGGACCTGAGAAGCAGCTTGCTGTGGTGGCAATAAATAGAGCCCACAATTGTCTTTCAGCTAAGTTACTTTCCCAGAGCTCTCACAATTTCACTGTCCAGCCATCACTTTCAATTCTCCCCTGCTTCCTCTAGGAGCTCCACAAAGTTAGTTTTTACATGAATTTTATCACAAAGGAAGAATTTTAATTATTTTTGTTTTAGACAGAGTTGGCTAGCCACAGTTTTCTTCCCACAGCTCTTTAAAGGATATCCATGGCCCTGTCTGAGTACTACAGCTAGGGCACTTTGCTTCCAGTAGTAATCGAGATGCTATACTGACTCATTAATGTGGCTGCCGGCATTTGGACAAGCACAGATGTTTTGTGATTTCCCGCCATCTCAAGCGTTCTTCCTTTTCTCATTGGGTGTGATTAGGTCACAAATTCGAAAGGAGGAGAAGTAGGGAATGTGAGTCCTGCATGTACCCCATACCTCAGTTAATGGGGAGGTGGGAGAGGGCCATGGGTCAGAGCCCTCACCAGTAACATCTCCCTGGGATGAAAGCATTCTCTGGCTGGCTTGCAAGCCTTTGGCAGCTGTGACTGTGAAGGGAAATGGGAGAAGGATGTGAGGATGAGAAGGAGGAGAGAGACAAAGGAGATAGGGGAGAAAGGAAAAGGAAGAAGAAAAACAGAAGAGAGAAACGGGAAAGAAGCAGGAGAAAGAAAAGGAGAAGGAAGGGAGGACAAGAAAGTTAGTGTCTGTGATTAAACAGGGTATGGTCAGAAAGTGAACCTTCAGTTCCTGGGCTGTCATGGTAAAGTATTTAGTTATGTGCATGAGTGTTTTGCCTACATGTATCTGAATGTGTGCAGTACCTGCAGAGGCCAAAAGAGGGCGTCGGAATCTCTGGAACTAGAGTTAGAGTTGCTGTGAGTAGTGCCGGGAACCAAGCGTGGGTCCTGTTGAAGAGTAGAGGGCACTTTTAACTGTCGAGTCATCTCTCCAGCCCTATATCCTTCTCTTAAAAGAAAAAAAAGTCTCCAGTAGGAAAGGGGAACAGAGGGACAGGAAGGAAAGAAGGAAGGAAGGAAGGAAGGAAGGAAGGAAGGAAGGAAGGAAGGAAGGAAGGAAGGAAGAAAGACCATGAAGTGTGTATGGAGGTCAGTCAAGTGAGCTAATTGAACTGAGTACTTCCTTCCAGCTTATCGACCAGGAGAATAGCCCCCAGGCCCTGAAGGAAGGCTGGTACACCACTCCACTGAATCAGTTACACAGCTAGGAATCCGTGTTTCTCTCTTTACCCCCTGCACTGCTCCTGAGGTTCTGAAAGGACTGTTAAGAGCTTTCACCTTCTTGGCCTAGGCAAGGATAAAGAAGACAGAGCCATCGTCCTTACTAGAATACTTCTTTGGGCGAGATCACAAAAGAATAAACTTTTGTGAGAACTCAGTTTGGCATTTCATTATAAAAATAAATATGGGTAGATCATAAAGATTTAAATAATCTCTTTTTGCATTTTTCTGTTTCATGATATAACTCAAAGAAATTCAAACTCAGACTAAAACACCTCAAAGAAAGAAACTCTTCTTGAAGACCCTCTCCCAAATAAAACAGTTTACTTAAAATATGATTTGACGTATTAATAATTCAGTGGTAAGAGACTGGGCTGTTTGTCCCTGGAATGCCATTAAACAGAGGGCCAATGGTAAGGACGTAACCATGATGGAACTGGCTTTGCGACTCTGCATCCATTCATACCATATAAAATCAATTACTGTAAGTCCCACAGGGCTGTTTTCTGTCAATCCACCAGGCAGAATGCATCCTAATGTATGGAGCGCGCCACTGAGAAAACTTTCCTCTTTAGCCCAGAGCCCTTGACCCCACTCCTCAGTGTGTGATTCAAGTCTTCATAAACTGCAATTATTTAGAACCAAGTGTGTTTCTGTATTTGAAATCTTTGTGTAAATACACTTCTCCTATCCTAAACAAAACAAGCTCCTTTCCCTGTGTAACATTCCTGATATTTGTTCATTACCATGCAGATTATAACTTTAAATAAACATGTTCCCTAAACTTCTTAATAAAGACAAATCTCCTTCTTCACTCATTACAGAGACATATTTTGAGATTACGTAGGGAGGGCATGCAGTTCTGAGAGTCAGTATTTCTTTTCATCAGTGGTTTTTGCACAATTCACCCTCCCTCATCTCCTTGCAGAATGATTTGCAGCGTTAAGGATGTGACTCGGTCCCATAGTCTCAGAAGATTCCCTCTTGTGTTCTTGGGTGAGGTCTCAGATGCTCAGGTCTGTATTATAAGATAATGCAGCTGATTTCCAAAGGGAATCATTGAGCAAAAGGAGATGCACTTGTAAAACCATTGCTGGAAATAGGCAAACATCCTCAGAAAATTGCTCCGAGTACATTATTGTCCTTTACTGGATGGATTTCATTTAGACCTCTCAGCATTTTGTGTCGTACTCTAACAGAATAGCAGAAGCTAATGGTGCCTTTCTAACAACTGCAGATGAGAAAGTACATTGTCCATAAAATTTTGCAAAGGTTTAAAAAAACTTCTCCCAGATTTCAGCAAAATATTCAAAAATGAATGCTTCTTTATAGGCACTAACAGGAGGTTTTGGTGTAGTATTAACGAAGCGGAACCTAATTCCGGACAATTTTCCATGCTGGACGTGGCTATTAAGAGTTCCTCGGCAGATGCCATTTTAAATGTGATGATTGCACTTCCTCTTTTTATTTTCCATCTTCATTGTTATGAAATGAAGACTTTTCGCATAGGTGGCCTGTCACTTTTGAAACAGGAAGCATGATGAATTATGGCACATTTGCCTCGCCGCGCTTTATCAAGCTCATTAGAGATGATGCATGGTTTGAACTTTATGGAAGGTAAACGAAAATGCATAGACCCCCCCTTTCCTTATCGCCTCTGTTTACCTCTGGCATCGTTCCGGATTACTTGTTGCACAGACTGACCAAGGGGTAAGGAAGAATTCTTGTTTGCAAAATGCAAGGCTCCTCCCTAGAGCAGCCTTAGACTCCAGTTGTCAGTTCTCAAAGCCTGATGTTCTCTGCAAACTCTCGGCTCGGAAAGGCTCGATCTGCTTTCCATGGCTGAATCATCTTTATGTGCATATCCTCATATCGGCATGGCAGGAACAGTTACTTTTAGTTTTCCAGTGAGACAGAACTACAATAAAAGCCCGCAGTGAGAAAATTCCAGTGTCATAAAACTAGTTCTCATTCATACACTTAAACAAATATTATAATGTTTCAGAGTTGTGCTATATTGGATCCTCATTTCTAGAGAAAACATTTTTACGTTTTAAACTAATTTACACTACACAGTCTTTAATTTAGCTTTTTAAAATCCAAAATTGCAGAGTTGGAGGGGACATCTGATTATGACACACCAAAGGTGACCAGTGTGACAGCATGCAAATATGTCACTTGAATTACATTTTTGTTAATAAATCTTTCATTTCTGACACTCGGGACTGATGGGGATTCATGGTAATAGAACCTGGAAGCACTCACATTGAAAAGACAGTTGAGTTTCCTAATTAGGGAGAATAACACATTAACAGGATTCCTAGAAGTGTCTTCCAGGTGGCCAGTGTGTGACTCTCCGTTCACCTCAATGCTGTCTTAAGTGGCAGCTCTACTTTTGTTTCCGCGATCAATTCACACACATGGGACAAATGCACAGAGAGTAGTTAATGTGTGTGTGTGTTTGCACGCACGCGCATTCAAACTCAGGATATGTCCACATATGTGCAGAGAGATTTTTTTTCTGTCACATAAATGTGATTTACATTACTACTGTAAGTATCTAACATCATTGAAGTGCTTTTCTTTCACTTCAGTTAAATCCAAGGTAAAAGACATTTTAAGAGGTTGTAAACTAAAATGTATGAGAAAAACAGGTTTTCCAATGCTTCTATGTGTACCTCTTGACTACCTAAGGACTTCATGATAACTATTACTACTACTACTACTACTACTACTACTACTACTACTACTACTACTACTACTATTTGGGACTTTTTGCACAATTTTTTAGGCCTTGGACTCAAAGATTAGGATGGCATACAGTAACAGTAACTTTACGCACTCTGAAACAGATTCCATAATCTCTTACAATCACATCAGATTGCTCATATAAAATGATGCTTTATTACTTGCTATGTAGTTATTATAGGTAGGCTTCTAAGATTGAAGAACTATAAAGAAGCATGAGATCTGAAGAAAAACTTGGCTGATATTCCGATCAGTTTTGAGAAGCAAGCTGACCCCACTTCTGGAAGGAAAGCTGCCTTGCCTTGGTTCACACAAGAGCAAACCAGAGGTTCTGACATTTCTTGGGCTCCTGCCACTGTTCTCACACATCCTAGGTATGACATCAGCACTGGGGCACTGGGCCTTCTTTTCTTGAGACTTGGCTCTACTTCCAGGGGGTAAGAGCAACATTTGAACCTCCCATTGACCTTCCTCAAAAGCAAGAGTAAAGATGGGCATGGCACCTCTCTTTTCTAACTGGGACTACTGAAAAAAAAAAAGAACAGCTCTAGACTGACCTTGGTGCCAACTGTAGCACAGCTGGCATTCTCTATTTGAATACGGGCAAGGTCAACAATGGTGTAACTAAATCAACCATCCAGAGATACCAGCGGCAGACTGAAGCCATGATACCTCCAGTCACGTTTGCAGACTGGCTGCTTTGGGTATACAAAAGCTGGATTACTCTAGAAGTGTGTTAGGCTCAGTCAATCTCATAGCACAGGGTCAAAGATAAAAGCCCCACCACCTGTGTGAGCCTCCCAGGCTTCCTGAATTTTAAGATGCAGTTGTTGAATAAAAGAACAAACATATCAGGAGAAAGGATGCTAGACAACTATATAGATTTAGAAGCCAGCCAAGGGGTCACAAAGAAGGAAGTCCCTCCAGATCAAAGACAAGCCCCTGGAAAGCAGGATGTGTGCCTATCAAGTCTCTCTCCATTTTACATTGTCTCATATTGGCCCATTCTTTACACATAGCTCTTTCCCTTGCAATTAGATTATGAAATCTCTGACATCAAGAGTATAACTTGATGCTCTTATGCCCAATCTTCCTTTCAAAAATAGAAAAAAAGCATGAAGGACTAGTCACCTCAACCCAACTGCACTGAAGTATTCCATTACACAGGTTAATCTATTTGGTTCCGTTGCCTGAGTAACCTGCCCATTCCTCAGTACATGAGAGGTCTATCATTTCTCCTTGTGATGGGGTGAAGGGGAAGCCCACAAGGGGCAAACAAGAGACACTGAGAGATCCATTGGAATGTTCTGGAATTCAGGACTCCCAGTGCAGTAGAGCACTTGGGAAAAAACTGTCCTTTACAAGAGACAAGCATCAGTCACCACGTGTCTGAAAGTGTCCTCACAGAGGAGCACAACCTTCTTAAGTGGTTAGGAAGAAGCTTTTAGCTGGGTTTATCAGCTATAAGGTTGAATGTGCAAGTCTACTTCCAAATCCTGGCTGCAATGAATTTTGAATGGCTGCCTTATTTTAGAACCAGAGTTGTTGTAATAAACGAATCTAAGAGCAGACAAAGAAAAATTAATAAATAAAAACTCTGCAAAGCTAAGAAAGTCTACCTCAAGGTAAATAACAAGAGAAGTCGGTTATATTTAATCATTTGGAATTCTCTGATACTACAACCTAATTTTGAAGGCATTTTTCTTTAACTTGGTTGAAGAAATTTTGTTACTGAAATAAGTACATAGATTTCTCCGATTTTACCAAATACCAAGAGAGTTAAATTTCATGCCAAGAACATCATATGGTATTATACCCTCCCTTTAAAAAGATAGTAAATGTTTCCAATTTGGAAACAGAACTTGTAAATTTTGGAAAGTTGAACATGGGTTGTGCCTCCAGATTCTTGCTGGAGCACCTGGTATGCTTTGTTGGAGTTTGTCTCCCTTGGTGTATCGATGCAGCTGCTGCTGCTTTAACAAATCTTCACCGAAACACAGAAGACATGCTGTTTAAAGGCTGGTGAAGGGTGATTGCTAGGCTTGAAGTAAAAAAAGCTGAGTTTCATTTTATGAAATGAGCGCCTTCTCAGTTTGATGGAAGTGCATTAAGCCGGACAGAGAAAGACCATCTCCTGTAATTGTCAGCAGATTGGCAATCGGACATATCATCCTGGCAAACTGGAACTTAATTGCTAAAATATGACTTCCTAGCAACTACAAGTATGTTCTGGCAATGTCAAGTTATCCCAAACCACATGACTTGACTTCTGCCTGAGAATTCAAATTGAAGATTTATCCCAGGTTGAGGCTGCGCCTCGTGCATTCTGCAAGAACTCCATAGACAGGGAAACGGGATATCGTTAAAGCATTGCAGTGCCCCAGGGGTCAATGTCAGATACAATCTAATTTAACATCTTTATTAAGGATCTCGAAGAGGGAGTAAGCCACATATTAATGAAATGTGCAAATGATATTAAGCTGGGAGCTGGTGTAACCACCAGTAAGGACAAAGAAATAATAGAAATGCGCCAAAAGAGGTTAAAACTCCTCACAGAAAATTATTACATGAAAATCACCTTCCTGGGGTGGATCATTTGGAAGATGAGCACTGGGAATCTGAAATCTCAAAGTTTGGTGTGTTGTGGCCACTTGGGAACCCAGAGGAAGGAAAGGAGGGCAACCCTGAGTCAAGATCTAATTTAGACACCAACACAAACATTGCACGTTATGTAAATGCATTTAGCTTAAAAAAAAACAGGAAGAGTGCCAACACTAAAAATTTACTTATGGCCCATCTCCGTGTAGCAGCTTAGCCAACACAGTCCAGGTAACTATTAAGAAGGACTGCTTCATAACACTACTGACACACTAATACACACGCTGGCGTGGAGTTAAACAAAAGGCGGACTGCGGGATGTGTACAAACTGGTGGCACTTCAGGGAAGAAAGACACAGACGTCCACCCTCAGGAACCTTTTCTCAAATGTTCCCTAATTTAGAAAAGCAAATGATGAGCTTTAAAGAAAACACAGTGAATTTAGAAGCCGTGACTGTTTAGCCTCTCCTGTTTTGCAACATAATTTTATTGTACCCCCATCAACTGGGGCATCAACTCCGAAAACTGACTTGGCCAAATAAGATGACCAAAGCCAGAGTCCAGGGACCTTGCAGCCTATAGGTATAAGGACACGTGTGGCTTCTTTTAACTGCGTGAGGCCATCCGCTCTTCTTCGTGTGTATTCTTATTTCAAGGCCAACAATCTTGACAATCTTTGGATAATCAACAGTTTTAGGCTGACTGACTTCTTGCATTTTAGGACTGCTGCCTTTTCACCTTGGGGTTGCTTAGGATCACTAAGTGTTGAGTACAGAGCATAGTAATTTGAGGCCTACCTAAAAATGGTGTTCCTGACATATTTAACTCTGCTCCTTTCCTACAATGACTGGTGACTGCCTAATATAACGTAGCTTTCATGAAGCTGGAGGGACTGCTCAGCAGTTAAGTGCACTTGCTGTTCTTCAAGAGGACCCAGGTTCAGTTCTTATCACTAACCTGGCAGCTTAAAAACCCTCTGTAAATCCAATTCTGGGAGTTTCAACACCCTCTTGTGGCCTCCATGAGTACCAGGCATATACAGAATATACATACAGACATGTAGGCAAAACACTCATACACACACAATAAAAAGAAAAATTTAAAGTAGCTTCCAGTTGTTTATTAATTCGTATCATGATTCTTTGCCTGCTTTCAGATTGCAGGAAAGAAAGAAAGAAAGGAAGGAAGGAAGGAAGGAAGGAAGGAAGGAAGGAAGGAAGGAAGGACAACTCTCAGGGCCCACATGTCCCAAAAGAGAACACACTGACCTCCTACAAAGTCCACACAGCAAGACTTTAGCTGGAAACCATCTGGAATTCAGATATAAGTAAATCTGAAGACTCTTAAGATCCCAAGGAGCTAAAATAGTAGAAAAACAGCCTCAAATGACCATCATGCATCTTGGGTAGTAACTCTGCCTCTGTAAAAACAAAACAGAACAACAAATCATTGATTCTATATAATTCATGAGAGAGTGGGCAGGAATGGCCAGGAATGGGACAATGACCCAAGAGGAAACATTGCAGACATCAAAGTAAGGGTGGCAGCTAACAGGTGGATATATCAAACACCCTCTGATATACTTGCCAATGAAGAAGAGGTGTTGCTTGAGACACACTAAAAAGAATGACAGACATTGTCAAATTTAAGGAAAAAAATAAGTGGACTAAATCATAAGGAATTTTTTCCCATCAATCTTTTTGTGAGTTTAAAACACCTAAACATTCCAAATAATAGCTCATTAGTGATTCCCAAAACACAATGAGTTAGAGCACAGTCTTCACAGAAAGTTAGGGTTTCTTATAGTTGGTTAACTGAACTCAATCACAAAATGGAATTTCTATGTAAATCACCCACAACATCAAACACAAAGGACTTCACTTAACCCTGACCAAGTTCGTTCCCAAATTAAAAAAGAAAAAAGAAAAGCTTTCCAAAATGGCATTTGATTTTTTTTTTTACTTTTACTTAACATACAGTTTGGAAAATAAACTGGAAGTCCAATTATGGAAAATTTTTAAATATTTTCTAAGTGATAAAAATGGGACTTCCCCCTCTCTTTAGAGAAAAGCAAATTCAGATGTCCTAGTTCTTTTTATGAATGTCTATGATGTTAAAATTATTGGAGCAAGCAAGATGACACAGTAGGTAAAGGCACTGGCTGTGAAAGCTGATAATCTGTTTTAGCCCTCAGATCCCACATGATGGAAGAAGAGAACTGACTCCTTCAAGGTGTCTTCCGACCTCCACACACATGCACACATACGCACAATAAGTAAAAAATGAAAAAAGAATGATTGATGTTACAATACATGTGAAGATTTTGGTACCTGCTATGTCAGTCCTTCAATAAAGGAATAAAGACAGAAGACAATCCAATCTTGACACTTTAAAAATTTATGCTTAGGTAAAGGAATACTAGCCAACTAATACTTTTTTTTTTATTGCAGAGCATACATATTAACACCACCAGTATGGCCTCCCACAGCACACCAGATTACAAATTACTTGATTTTCCAAAATAATATGCAAGTTTGAGAAGGGCAATATGTATTTTGTATTTACATGTTAACTTTCAGTAAGCATCATATTTTAAAGTGAGCTTCATCCTGTAGACACCCAGAATGGATGCAATTTCCATCTCCTTGAAATTGGGCATGAATATGTGACCTGCTTTGGCCAGTGAAATGGCAATCAAATGAAGAGTCAGAGTTTAGGAAAACTTCCCCCGACCCTTCTATGCCCCCAAAGAAGCACACGGACATTATATTAATTATGAAACTGTTGACAGGTGGCTATGGTTTCTTATTGGCTAGTTCTGACTTAATTATCAACCCATTTTCTATAAATCCAAGTGTTTCCATGCGTTCTTCTCTTACTGGAAAAAGATCCGGGAACCTGTTTCTCCTATGGTATCTTACATGTCTTGCAGAGAAGAGAGTGATTTCCTGTTTTTCATTACTTATATACTGATTCGGCCCAACTATGTCACTTCCTGCCTGTCTGTACAGACCTCTAGGCCTCTATGGTTAGCTAGTGGCCGTTTCTGCTCACCTACGTCACTTCCTGGGATCATCTGATGACTCCTCTCTGCCTACATTTCCCAGAATCCTCCTTGTTTCCTAGTCCTACCTATCATGCTGCTTGGCCAATCAGTGTTTCATTCATCAACCAATAAGGCAAACATATACAAAGAAGAACATTCTCATCAGTCGCCACCACGAAATAGTGAAAAGCGCATGCTGCTAGGAAGAGGAAACTCAGACCCGTACCCTCAACCGCAGCACACTGCAGTCTCCCAGCCTTGCCATAAGCTATGCGCCAGTAAGAATTACACATCTATTATCACACATGGGGCTACCTGGATGCTTCACCCGCCAGCATAATGTTGCCTATCCTAGTCAATACACTCATTGTATGGAAGGACAAGCAGCACACTTACTTTGTATAGCCTTTAAATAAGCCACTGGCTAAATGGTCAAGCTGTGATTCTCACATACCCAATGTATAGAAGGATCCAGTGAGGCTGATTGTTTGAAGTTCAAGTCACTTTCTGTCAAGTCTGACCACCTGACTTTAGTCCCTGAGACTTACATAGTAGAGGGAGTGAACCAAATCCCACAATTGTCCTCTGACGCCCCCCCTCCACACTCACATAGAGATATAAACAAATAAAATGATTCGTTAAAATACAGTTTTTGGTCACATGTCAGGATTTAATTTTGTAGGATATCTTGAATTGGTGTCTTTCCTATCTCAAAAGCCAAGGGATTCCGTTCAGACAACTAGGATTCTAACACCTTCCTCTTTCATCCCATAGTAGCCTATAGAACTGCATCCATTCACACCTGGAAAACATTTCAGTGCCTCTAACACAGCAAAATGACTTTTCTAATTTTTTTCCTGACAGATGTTTAAAAGAAATCTTGACAAGGAAAAAAAAAAAAGGAAAGAAAGAAAAGAAAGCAAAATACAAGTGATCAGGGACGCATTCTTAAATTTGACTTCATGGTTATAAGCATGAGTGAAAATAAAAATAAATATGTCTAATCACAGAATGGTTAATCACGGGAAATAAAAAATCAACACTCTTTTGCATTGAAGATCGTTCTCTTGTATCTAATTTGGAGAGATACTTAACAAACAGTATAACAAAGACTCATGTTCTGCTATAATGAGTAATTGATGTAGACTCAACCACTTTGCCTGATGGATTTCAAAGCAAAAGAGTGGCAGTCACTCACTGCACCATCATTGAAAAGCTGTGTTATAGATCATTTGATTTTAAAAAGACAGTTCTGTGCTTCTCGAGATGAGAAAACACAGTAGCCATGAAGGAGCATTGTTGCAGCTGTTTTCTTGACATTCCCATGGAGAATTTCAAAACAGCACTGGAGCTCTGTGTCCTAAAACCACAGAGGAGAACTTGGCCTAGTGGCCTAGTTCTACTTCCATAGAACACACAGGCAGAGGATTACAAGTTCAAGGCCAGCCTGGGCTACCGAGTAAGCTCAAGACCTGCCTGTTCAACTGATTAAGGCTCTGCCTCAAAATAAGAAGCTGAGAAGACAACTGGATAGTTCACTGGTAGACCACCTGCCAAGACCACCTGTTCAACTCTCTTTGGTTTAAACCCCAGAAACACACACACACACACACACAGAATAAATCATACAGAGGAGATGGCCCAGTGGCTGGATAGGCTGTGTCAGGGAGATGTCTTTCTGACATTTAGACAGGCTCTTCCATATACAGACTTCCTAACAATCAGCTACCAGAAGACTTCTTTCACAGGGAATATAATACAAGGCCTGTCCTCCACTTGATGTCTGAAAGCAGGGATAGTCCCAGACTCTGTGTGCACTGTGTGTACTGTGACAAACATTATTTTGTGGAGCAGGCATGACAAGAGATGAACAATAACAGATACAATACTATAATGAAGTCATACACATCTGTCACCTCATTCCACTCTACTTAACCTTCTAGGAATGATACTTAAAGGAAGCACTATACAGTTCTCTTTAAGAATGAAAATAGCCAAGGTCACTACTATTGTATTTGAGGTTGTATAAAAGAAGGGGTACTTGAACACAAATGAGGCAACATCATGATACCTGACCTGATCACTAAGATGGCCAGTAAGTGATTAATGGGCAGGTAGATACTCCAGGCAAAGAAATGATGTGTATCCCTTGTGGGACACAGGACAATGATACAATATTACCTTTGACCCTCAGAAAGGCTGCAGCTTAAAATTCACAAACTGTTTCTATGTGATATTTCCACTTTCTGTTTGCAGGACATATTTCACTCCAGGTAAGATGAATCTGTAAAAAGTGCAACTTCAGACAAGAGAACACTCCTTGTGATGGGAACCTTGTTCCCTTTCCTTGAGCAGCCACTGAAGCTGCTCAGTTGCCTCACATATAAAGTTCAGACTGCTTAGGCTGCTTCTCTACTCTTAACACTGGCTTTGCCCTCCCCCAGCCAGGAGTGTCTCTTGGTCCATGGGAGTTTCCCATGCTCCTTCATGCTCCTGTTTGAGACATGTTTCTTTGGCATGTTTTTTTCTACTGGTGATGTACTCGCTCATATGACATCCTTTGTCACCCAGAGTTACTTATTTGGCATTTTGTTTGTACTTTTGTTTCTCTTTCCTTTTGACTACTTTGGATGCACACTTGATTTAAGTATCCTTTGTGATGGACTGGCTGTGTCACACCGCCATTTATCTTCCAACTCAAGTGTACAGACTCCATCTCTTCAATGACAGAGAATATGTCTTACTTAATTTCCAATAATGTTCTTTATTTTCAATAGCTCCAGTGTCTGACCTATAAATATGGTCAAATAGTTGGCAAATGAATGAATTGATGGAGGAATGGACCAGATCTGCATCCCACTGTTGACGTTACCAGTGACCTGCTGGGCCACCTTAGCCATGTCACTTTACTTACTGTGTTCCAGATCCCTGATATGAAAACAGGGGATAACAATCACTAGAGGGACACTGTGAGGATTAATGAAATAATTTTTATCAAGCAGTTTGAGTTCCCTGGAAGAAAGATACTATGTAAGAACAAAGTGTGCGTGTAATTGCTGTGGAACACCTTTCATCCAAGAATCTCAAAGCCCATCACCAATCATAACTCACTAATCTTCTCAATATGCCTCAGAAATCCTCCACTACCGTCACTTCAGAAGAAGGAAAAAATATAGACAGCAAAAGGTTAAACACACAGCCCATGGTGTCCTCCTTTCTAAATGCCAAATCCAGCACAGCCAACTCAGAGCCCTTTGAACCTGGAGGCACTAGCAACTTCCCTGATACTGCCTCACAGAGGAAGCCATTGAACTGCTCCCAGCTAGCTGGCAGAGATCCAGTTGGAAGGAGGGCCCACATTAATACCTTCCATAGGATAAGGGGCGGGGTGGTTCAGCAAGGGGATGATCGCATTCGTCCCTGCACTGTATAAGTAGAAAATGTAAGCAAACCTGACCATCAATCGCTCGCCTTCCTCCAAAGACTTTGGCTCAAGTCTGGTTAAGATCTTTGCAGGGTCTCCTTTGAACTTGACACCTCACTGTGACAACTCTGTTCTAGCCAGAAAACGTCTCATCACCTTTGAATACAAAGGTAGCAGTTTCACAACCAAAGAAATAATCCTAACATACCGCATTTGGGGAAGCTTTTCCTGCCTAATACTATTTTTCCTGCTGAATCCCATGAATGTTAGCCAACACAGGTGGTGGTGCTAATCTGCCTTCTAGGAGGGAAAGAAAGAATGTAAGCTATTCTGCTTAGGCTTGGGGGAGGTGGGGCAGTGTTTGCTTTAAGACAGGGAAACTAGTAAAAGAGCCATTTCTACTTATGCCTAACCAAAGGGCAACATTAGTACGTTTTTTCACAAATGTCAAGGTTATGCCTCCTAGAGGCTGTGGTCAAGAGGAAAGCCCTAACAATGAGGAAAAATTGGCTATGAACAAATCCAGCCTGTATAGAAATATCCAGGCTGTGTCCAGACACCAAGAGAAAGCAGCAAGGGTCACGCTAGCTCCTTTCTTCCCCAAGGGCCACGTCAGAATAAACATTCCAGTTCTTCTTGGTTTTCAGTCCAGAAGAGTAGTGTGTGTCCACTAAGACCAGTCTCTTGATGATAAAACCTCTGACCTTAAGTAGTATGGCTCCCAACTTCCTGCATTTGTGACCTTTTCTCCACTTTGTCATTCACGAGCCCTTTGCTCTGAAGTTAGTCACTCGGGTAAAGATCTTCAGCACCTGGCCACCTCTTCCAGACCACAGTCCCATTTCTAACTTCCTCATACTTTAGAAGCCATCTGTAGGTAGAGGAAAGAGTATAATTTGGTACCAAGCCTATGTGACAGTTGATCTTAACACCTGCCACTTTTGTTCTGGAGTCTTAGACAAGTTCCCAGACTCCACTAAGCCTTTTTACTTTTAGGTCTGTAAAGTAAGAATTACAAGTCTACAGTGAAACTGTTTGAGAGGTCATGACTACACACTGTCATTTCCAGCAAAGACTGGGGTCCTTGACCCTCAAGGCTTCTTACACACTGAGGAGAAGTGGGCAGGCACACTCACTCTTCGGGTACTAATAAAGAGACTGGAACTGTGTGTGCATTCCTCTCTCTCTCTCTGTCTCTGTGTGTGTGTGTGTTTGTGTGTTTGTGTACATGTGTACATAAGAAAACCCTGGGTGTTTTCCCATTGTTTTGAGACAGGATCTCTCTCACTGGCCTGAAATTTGGCAAGTAGGGCTGGCTGGCCAGGCAACAAGCTCTAAGGATCTTCTTGTCTCTGCACTGAGATTACAAGTGTACCATAAGGCCTGGCTATTCTCCATGTGTGCTAGCATTGAACTCAGGTCCCCTGGTCTGTAAGTAAAGCACTACAGAAGATTTCCTCCCAGCTCTAGACTCTAACTCCTAAAGACATTCTGTCTGCATCTCCCACAGGGCCCGGTGCACATTGAGTATCTGCATCTTTAATCTTATACCCAGCCTCTCTTCCTCTCAGGTATTTCTTCTATTTGTGAAGTCTTACTATCCAGTTCATTTTCTCCTTCTTACCCCACACTACTTAGATTCTAAGCAACAGTTGGAAATCCAAGTGGAAAATGCATTTCACCCAGTAACCCAGAGTTGTGAACCAGGCAGAATTATGGAAGCACTTACTGAAAATATGGGTCTTTAAGGGGGTACCTCACTTCTCAATACAGAAATTAGAATAACCCCAGGTGAGTCAGGTCAAATCTACCCCTGGTGAGTTGGCCAACAGTAGAGTAATAATAACCATCACTTTAGCACTGATCTTCACGAAAGAGGGAAGTCAATGTAGTACATCCCCTCTCTCTTCCCCATGGTGGAGAGGTTAATCACACAATGAAGGAGAGGCAGAGCTGGCCAGCCTCTAGGAACAGGCCCATCAGCTTCCCAAATGGGGTTACCCCCTCACCCCACACAATACAACTCATCCCCAGCAAGGGGAGAGTCACAGTTCCTTCTGGCATCTCTATGAGGAGAAGAAAAGAGGCCACCTTCTTTGCCTGGACAGAGGTACCCCATGTAATAAAACCACATTTAATTTTCAAATCAGTATCTTCAACACTAAGCTTGACTCACTAGAATGAACATGTCACACTAGAGAAGTCTCCACGAGCCCAGATAGGCAGACTCAAAATGTCACTGAAAATTAAGCTGTTGCTCACCGAGGTGACTCTTGTGTTAAGCTATGCCTGAACATGACCGCTGGAATTTCATACCCGACTGTAGGGAGATAAAAAATGTAAATGAGTTTTGCCTGGAGGATGGTAGACTGCAGGGTTTTCAGGGGAGTTTGATAGGAAGTTGAACCAGCTATGGCTCATCCCAAGTAATTACCCTTGCAGTAAGGACCAAATTCTCATTAACCCCCATCCCCAAGAATGCTCCAAGATGACTCAGGTCTTTCCACAAAGCCTGATTATGATTTTACTTGGCGGGGAGAGTTCTAGAACATCCCCCCTTCAACAAACATAGCCAGATAAGTTAGCATATTCTTCAACATTCTCTTTCAAATAACTAAGTGAGGGAAAAGAACAATTATTTGAACATCCAGAGCCTTTAGTTTTCTTTGTACTCAACTCTTATGACATTTGAAAGTCTTACCTGCACTTAACTGTATCCTCCTCATGCCCTATCCTCTGTTTCAGAATGGGGGGGGGGTCCAAATCCAGGGGACTTGGAAAGGGTAGCCAGTAAGAAATAGAAGGTCAGCTACCCACTGCTTCTGCATCTTCATCCAAGGTTGGAATTACAGCTTTAGGGACTGGCAAAGTATCCCAGTTGGTAAAGTGTTTGCCGAGCATGTATAATGGGTTTGATCCTCATAGCTACATAAAACCAGACATGGTGGTTTATACCAGTAATCCTGGCACCAGGAAGGTAGAGGCAGAAGAAGCCAGAGTTCACTGTAATGCCCAGTGAGTTTGGGGGTAGCCTATGTAGACTGTTACTACAGCCTTCCATCATGGAAAGCCTAGAATTATGACAAGACTGGAATTATGCCAAAGGGTAAGTGCACATGACTCCTAGATCAAATGAGAGAGAGAGAGACAGAGAGACAGAGAGAGAGAGAGAGAGGGACAGAGACAGAGACAGAGACACAGAGAGAAACAGAGAAAGTGCTAGATACAGCATGACATGGGAACAAGCAATGAATTCTGTATTAACAGGAGACATGGAAAAAGACAGACTTCAAAATCATCTATCACAAATTGATTCTGTGTAACTCAGGGCCTAGAGATGCTGAGCCTTGGATGTAAGACCATCAGGTATATGACAGTTACTTGTCTGTATATATTCTCTGCTGAAACACAGCTGTAGGAGTGAACCCCACAAAGCTATCTGCCCATGAGGGCGGGGCCATGTAAACTGACACAGGTAGATATAAAAGGAAGTGAAAGAAAAAGGAACTCCCTTTTTCTCCTGGAAGCCAGCCACGCTTCTAACTCCTGGTTTCTGCGACTCTCTCTCTCTCTCTCTGTCTCTCTGGTAAATAAATATATTGTTTCCTATAGCATTGACTATCATTAATACACAGCAAAGGTAGAGAGCAGTTCACTCTTCCAGCACATCTGCAAAACACAGCAGAGTGTGTGTGTGTGTGTGTGTGTGTGTGTGTGTGTGTGTGTGTGTGCGCAAACATGCATGCGCTCATGCCACTCCTGGAGAGTAAAGATAAGTGGACGGATTTTTGAGAATCCAATGCTCTAATCTAGTGCTTTGATACACTGCAAGGACAAACCAGAGGACTGACATGTCCTTCTCCTCACCATTCCTTCACAAGGGAGGTCTCTGAACTTGTCTAGGTCTTCGTAAGTTATTGTGAGCCACAGTCATCTGACTGTCAGATGGAGTGCAAGAACTCACTGCTGTTGTCTCACTGTAGTTTGGCACCCTTTATCCAGCCTCCCTGCTTCCTTCCATCCATCCTACCATCCAGCAACCTCCATTCTATTGTCATCTTTATCTCACCCAGATGAGTGAGAGCACAAGGAGTTGTCTGTTGGACAAGCCCATGTGTGTGTTCCTGCTCTGTCTCTACTGCAAAGCTTGGACACCTTGAGGATGTCGTAGAAACAAAACCACTGAGGCAGGTGAACACTTAGACTTAGTGAGAACCCAACCATTCCACAATGGGTGACACCAAAGGTTTCCTTTATTTTCAGTCATGTGGATAATTACTTGCAAGTATTTCCACATGCAGATTTCCATCACTGGCAAGCTATATAAACCCAGAGACAGACATTGGGGTTCCAGCTGAAAATCAGAGAATCAAAGCAGCCAAGCTACCAGAGAGCTCTTACCTCTACCAAGGCTGGGGTGATGCTGACTTCATTGTGACTGGAGACCAATTGCTCCAGCACTTACTATTGAATACCCCATTCCCATCTTATATACTTCTCTAGTGCTGGGATTAAAGGAATGAGCTCTGTTTCTCTTTTAGATTGATTCACTCTCATGTAGCCCTGGGTGGCCTTGAATCCACAGAGATCCATCTGCCTCCTTCTCCTGAATCATGGAATAAAATGTGTGTGCCACCACTATCCAACTTCTATGGCTGTGGCTAGCTTTAAATTCCAATCTTTAGTGACTTTATTAGATCATAAACAATATGTCAACTCAATAAGCTACATAAGATACATCAACTTATGGAAGGGTATATCTGCTTGGGTTTATTGGTTAAGGTTATGGGGAGCTGGCCCTATTGCTTCTGCCTTGCATATTATGCAACACATAGTAAAAGAAAAGCTGCTCGCTTCATGGTAGACAGGAAACAGCAAGTGACAGAGAAGAAAGGAATCCAGGACAAAACATGCCCTTCAGATTTCTTCAGAGACACCCTGCCAATTATACATACTTCCTCCAATTATACACACTTCCTCCAATTAGGAATTCTTTTTCCCTCCCTTCCTTCCTTTTCTTTCTTTTTCTTCCTCCCTTCTCTTTCTTTCATTCTTTCTTTTTCTTCCTTCCTTCTCTTTCTCATTATTTCCTTTTCCCTTTCTTCCTTCCTTCTCTTTCTTTCATTCTTTCTTTTTCCCTTCCTTCATTCGATCCCCCTCTCTCTTTTCTTCTGAAGCAGGGCTTCTCTGTGTAACAGCCCTGGGCTGTCCTGGAACTCACTTTGTAGATAAGACTGGCCTCAAACTCACAGACATCTGCCTGTCTCTGCCTCCTGAGTACTTAGATCAAAAGTATGTATCACCATCTCTTGGCTAGAACCCAACTCTTACACTCAACAGCATAATCTATTGATGCTGCTCACACTCTCATTATCCAATCTCCCCTCCACAGAGTCATAGGCTAAAAGCCAAGCCATCAACACGTGAGACTTACAGGTAGAGACAATATATATTTGCATGATATTTTTAATAAGCTGTGTTTTGTGGGTTTTGTTGTTGTTGTTTTTGAGTAATAAAATATCCCTGAGAGTAGTCACTAACTTGATCCCTTGTTTCTTGGGAAGCAGGATTCCTGTGTGAGACATTCCCTGTATGTCTGACAGTTTGCTGAGTTTGTGCCCACATGATGTTTATGGTTTCCCTGTCCTGGCATTGAGAAAATGGCTGCTGTTTCCAGAATACCCTCCTATTACTCCTCATTCTTCCGTGGAATAGAATTATTTCTGCCTATGACATTTTGGGAATGTCTATTGGAGAAACAGTCTAACTCCTGAGAAGGACTAAGCCTTAAATATGTAGCATAAACTTGATAGTTCTACCCTCAAAACATATATTCCCATAAAAAAGCATTACCCATAACTATTCGGTTTTAAGAACTATCATCCAATCATACTTGGAGATACCATTGCTCTAACCAAAGTCTTGAACATGGAATAGGTGCACAGAGAATTGGCTTGGGGAATTGGAAATGAAGACTCATACCTAACCTTCCTTTACCCCTTTTCTTATCTGTTTCTAACACCCACTTGGAAGAGTGGTGTTCTGCAGTTTCTCAAGACTTGCACCAAATAGTCCATGGTAGGGCTGCTGGCTTGTGGGGAAAGGGGATGGACTGAGAGGAAACAGATTTAAGGAAGGTTGTCACGATGAAGGAAGGACTCAGAGTTGGCGTGTGGCTTGATGTTCAGATATTGGCTGCAAAGAATGATTTTACGCTGGGCCAAAACCCAGGGGATTGGTTATCAGCTTGGTCTCTCAGCAGCTGAGTGAACAGAGCCTTCAGTATTGAGGCCCACTGGGGAGTACCCTGCAGCCATCCACTACCCATCTAGGTCCCCCAGCATACACAGAACAACTCTCTTAATTTTTGTAGGAGTAATACTCATAAAACAAGAATAATAATGTCTATATAGAGTTCTGTAGATGCCAAAACATTTTGCAGATGTGAAATCATTTGTCCTAGATACAGAAATGTCATGAATCTTCTAGTTTCCCTTGGAGATGTTAGAAATGACACAGCATGGGTGTGGGAAGTACCATCTTACCACAGTCCTCTCCCACAGTCCATTTCCACAAATGCCTGCTTCAGACGTGGTCCTTGGTATTTTATCTGGTGACAAAACAGTTATATGGGAGTTGGAGGAGACATAATTGATACCTACAAGGACAAGGGAAATCTGCTTTCTCCAGTTGAATGTCATTAGATATGTCAACCACAGTCCAGGACCAGCACAACACAAACTCCTTTTCTTTTCCTTTTTGTTTGGGCATTTTTTTTATCTTACTGATTTTTCATTTGTTTGTTTTGATTTTTGTTTTTGTTTTCTGAGACAGAGTATAAGAGTAAAAGAGAAAGGGAGCCCATGAAATTGAGTAGGTAGGAAGTGGGTTGTATCTGGGAAGAGCTGGAGGAGAGGAAAACATGGTCAAACTATATTATATGAAAAAATTAATAACAATAAAAAATTAAGTAAAACCCAAGAAGGCAAAAGACACCTAAAATTTTTACAAAGTGTCCTAGACCAGTATCTCCAGTTAGAGCCAGGAAGGTCTGGAGGGCTTGTTAGTGACACTCAAGTCTTACCTCAATCTTTCTGACTCAGAATCTCTCCAGAGAGGGAATTCAAAACCCAAATTCCTGACAAACACCCCCAAATATTGAAATGTACTTTTGCAACTGAAAAACATCTGGAAGAGACATCCTGCCATCAAGAGAGACACCCCACCTTCTCAGAGATATCCAAACCTCGGCAGAGACACCCAGTTCTCAGCAAAGAACACAGCCCTCAGCAGAGGCACAGAGGCACAATATCCTTGCCCAAGCATACCATCATCTAGTGGTCCACCTTATTCAGATGAAGTGTGAAATTTGAGTGGAATATTCCACAAATTATCATAGTTTACTGCTCTTACTATTTTTTAATTCCACATCTTGAAAAGGCAAGCTCTTTCCAAGTCTATAGTGTAATGTCCTTATTCTTTATATTCTATTTATAGCTAAATACTTCTATGCCAACCCAAGTGATTTCTACACATTATTAGATGGTTTCACTAGGCAAAATTGAAATATAAAATTCGTGTGTACACTAGTAACCTCAGTATTATGCTATAGGCAATTAAAGTTTGAAAGGTATCAATATAATATGTGCATATCTAATCACAGTCTTTTAAGATTTATTAAGAGACCACAAACTTATACATACATACATGAAAATATAGCTTCTCTAGTGTATGAGTGGTAGACTACTGCTCAGCCTTTAAAATGCAAGTTTCCCATTTATGACAGCATAGATAAGCTTAACAGACATTGTGCTAAGACAAAGAACCCACAGAAGGATAAATACTGCCCTTGTTGTTAATATGCCTTATCTTCAAAAATTGGGGTCATACAGAGACAATAGAAAAGGCAGTTTACTAGGAGCTGGTGGGGAAGGAAATGGGGAGATGTCAGATTAACATTTAAAAGATTCAGTTGTCTTTTTTAAGTATATACCATACATTTTATGTGCATGATATAATTCCCATATTAAATCATAAATAGAATGATTTAACATAGGAATGAAAATTTTCAGATTACTAAGTCCTCTACTCCAATTTTTTAAAATTACTTTTTCTAAGTGGATCAATGTGACAAATTCATGCAGTGACAAGTTGTATTTAATGTCTCTTGGGCTGACACTAAGATGAATGAATTCTAGAAAACCATCTCACAGCCTATGGATAACGCATTATCTCCTTGGACTTTGCTAAGAAGATCAACACATGTATCCACATAGCATACCAAGAGAGAAACTATTTGAACTGATAGGTATGGTAATTAGTTTGATTGCAATAATCATTTTACCCCATACATGTACATAAAAACATCATGTTCTAGGCCCAGCGAGATGGTTCTATGGTTAAGAGGGCTTGTTCCTCTTGCCAAGGA